AGGACGTGGCCGGGACCAGAGTGTCAGAGGGCTGGAGGGAGGGAGAGAGAGGGCCATCAGGACACCTGCTGCTTTTGAGCGCACCGCCAGCCAATCAGGGCAGAGCTGAAAGAAAGTCAGGTTAGAAGGGGAGAAGGCGTACGCCCGGGCGCATAACACAATACAATAAGTAAAACACAAAAATGTGAAACTAAAATGAACTAACACACAATACATGAATAAAAGCAATAGCAATACAATAAATAATAGAAGATAAATAGAATCAAAAGCTAATCTAAAAAGGTGTATATAGTTGTTGTGTATATAGTTGTGTGTTTACATCTGTACTATGTTATGCATTATATTTAATCATTAAACCTGGTATTAAGACTATTTACTTCGGCATTGTATGTTTTAGAAGGTGAAATAATGAATTAGATTGGAAAAAATATGGATACACATGTATAAAGGACAATGATCTCAGCATGTTATTCCCACCTCTACCACCAGAGTGCACGTATTATCTTAAGAGTAGAAATGGTATTTTACTCTTTTTAATGCATTGTTGTTATTTATTATCTTATTTCATTATGTGATTTCAATTATTTTAATTAGCTTTGTGATTTTAATTGTGTTTTTAATGGTGATTTTGGTGTTTTATGTGAAGATTTGTGCATTTTGTGATGTGGAGTATGAAGTGCTTTGTGTGGCCCTGTGTAGGAAAGGCACTCTACAAATAAAGATGTATTGTTTTTTTTGCCTGATGATTCCCTCTGCAGTTAGAGTGAAACACTGATTAGTTATTTTATTTATTACAAATCTTCACCAACCTGTATATTCAGGTTTGAGACTACTCCTCTCCGGCATTTTGACATTTATGGACTTCATCAACATTTATGGACATTGGTTTCTTTCTTATGGACCAATGGATCTATGTGTTTTTTTTTATCATAGCATTTCCTGTGTTTGAACGGTTTGATTCTCTGATCTGTGTTGGCGAATCAACAGCTTTATCAATCAATCAATCAATCAATCTTTATTTATAGGGCGCTTTTCCTGCACAGGGCAACACAAAGCGCCTCACAGTCCACACCACACAATGCACAAATCATCACCATTAAAATACAATTAAAAACACATATGTAATTAAAAAGCATTAAAATCACATAAGTAATTTAAAAACATAAAAATCACACAAGTAATTAAAAACAATAAAATAGTTAAAAACACAAAAAGTTACAACAATAAATAACAAGGTGTGTTAAAAAGATAAAATTCTCTAGTTGTATGCACGGGAAAAAAGAAAAGTCTTTAACATGGATTTGAACATTGACAGAGAGGCAGCCAGTCTCACATCCTCAGGAAGACCGTTCCAGACTCCAGCTGCATAAATCTGAAAAGCAGCCTCCCCCTGTCTAGTCCTGACTCTGGGCACTAACAGGAGTCCCGTCCCTGCGCTCCTCAGAGTCCGGGCTGGTTCATATGGGACTAGCATATCATGGATGTACTTTGGTGCAAGGCCATGGAGAGACTTGTACACCAGGAGAGCTGCTTTAAAGTCTATCCTCTGGGCCACGGGAAGCCAGTGCAGAGACCTGAGGACCGGACTAATGTGGTCGTACTTCCTGGTTCTAGTCAGGACTCGGGCTGCAGCATTTTGAATATACTGCAACTGTCTTACTGCATGTTTGGAGATACCTGTGAGCAGGCCATTGCAGTAATCCAGCCTACTGGAAACAAAAGAATGGATAAGAATCTCCAAGTCTGCCCTGGACACAATATTTTTAATTTTGGCAATATTTTTCAGATGATAAAAAGCTGCTGATGTTACCGATCCAATGTGGCTATTGAAGTTTAAGTCAGAGTCCATTATTACTCCCAGATTTCTGACCTTATTTAAGGGCCTTAGGGAGAGAGACTGAAGGTGACAAATGACGGTCTCTCTTTGTTTATAAAGTCCTCCAAGATAAGTACTGTTGTGATTTAGGTCAATACACAAATACATTGAACTGAAATTGATGCATGTTGTCGGGTTTTGATGGATGTCTAGGATGGGACGTGCTCTGGTGATCCCGAGGTTTCTCACCTTTTTTCTCACCGGGTTTTTCTTTGCCGATGCTGGAGGGTCTAACATAAGAGCTGTGCAGATGATGCAGGACACTCAACATTTATGGACCTTGGTCTCTGCCCCTTATGAACCAAAGTAAATGTGTTTTTAGCATTGCATTTTTTGTGTTTGAGTGTTTAAGACCTCAGAGAAAACTACTGTTGTGATTTAGGACGATAAAAGAATACATTTAATTGAATTATTGATACACACCAGTCCCATTTACTCTGGTGTGTATTCAACTGTCCTGTCTTGTGTGAAAAAATAAAAAAAAAATATGTTTTACCTGTGTATCTGTGCAACAACTGTGGGGGAAAAAAACATCTGAATGTCCTTTTAGAAATAGTTTGTTTGCATTTGTCATTAATTCAATGGAACGTAGATTGCCGTAACCTATCCTGGCTCTCATCTCTTGCCATCATAAACCTTTAGCAAGTTTACATTCCACTGCACTGACGATAATGTAATAAGTGCAAATGTTTCAAAGTAATTACATCAATGAATAATTCTAATTACTTTGTGCTCACTGGATTAAACAAAAATGGGCCACCAGTGGAGAACTGTGTCAAAGCTCGTTACACTCTAGTCCCAAATCATGCAATTTAATTAGAAGTATTTTTATCTCAGAGGAGCAATTATAAAGTCTTTGTCTGAAAAACTAAATAATAGGAAAGATTTATGAGTCTAATTATCACACACTTTACTCATATTTGCATTCATTTAGTTCACACAGGATCACAGCAGAGAGCATCCTTTAGGTCGGCTCTGCTTTAGTGTCTGACCGAATAGGCAAGGCAAGTTTAAGTGTATAGCGCAATTCTTACAAAAGGCAACTGAAGGCATATGTTTATCTCTGTAACTATCAGGGTTCCTACAGGGTCTAAAGTCATGGAAGCAGTGAATTTGTGAATTTTGGTAGAAAAAGTTTTATCCGTATCAAATTCTCCCCAATGAATTTGTCAATGACTTGATTTGATTAAATAAGGTAGGCTGAAGAAATGGTGGAAGTGGCACAACTACAGTAAGTAAGTATTTTCTATTTATGGTTAAAGTTAAGTTTAGACAAGTGCCTCGGGCCCAAACTACAACACAGAACACAAGCAACAATGGGGAGTAAGTATATGAACCCAATTACGTTTTGGTTGTTTGGCAGGTTAATTAAATAGGCCGTGAAAATTATATTACAATAGTCTTAAAAAGGTGCGGGAAAGACTTTAATTTGACTTGCAGAAACTTGTGTGAGCCATGTCTGCTCTATAGTGATAATGACACGTGTGGCTCATTTGCATATCACTCACTATCTGTTCTTGAATTCTTTATTCCATCTTCTTCTTCTTCAACTCTCCAACGCGTTCATCAATTTGCACATTTTATACCTGGTTTTGTTCAGTTTCATTGTCTTATGGGGGCTAAAACGTTTGGTGTATATTTCTTTTGTAGTATTTGAAGTCTTTGTTGTCTTTTTTAATGGTGCTTTTCAAAGTTGTATACGTTTTGAATTATTTTTATCTATTATAATAAGGATTTTAAAACGTAATAAGGGTGTATTAATAATGTGTTTTGCATGTTGTCTATCTTATTATCTTTGTAGCACTTAGTTTTATTTAGGCTATGCAGTCATTCACTATGGCTTCAGGCGTAAACATTTCTAGTATATATTTTTGTAACAGAAATTTCCCCACTGTGGGACACATAAAGGATCTCTTAATCTAATCCAAAACAATGTTATTACAGAGATCAGTTCAAGTTCAACAGCTCTGTCCTCTCTACAGCAGTCGCCCAATTACCCCTGTTCTCGGCAGAAACAACATTTTTCCTTTCAGTCAATACTCCACTGAAACTGTGCACGGCGACCTCCAAATGGGGTCTGACAGAGGTTTAAGTACTTCTCAATTTGCTTCAGTTCCTTTGATGCCCTCATCCTCCACTGTTCTGTGGAGTGCCCCATGGCTCAACACTGGGACCATCTCACATCTGCATAATTAATCACCCCACTAGTTTTTCTGTTGAGCACAAAGCTAATGATATGACAAGGCAAGGCAAGGTAAGGTAAGATTTTAGTGAATCCCACTATTTAAAACAATTTATTTGGAAAAAAAAAAAAACAATTCTACTCCATAGGGACAGGGCAATAGCTTACATACCATTCATACTTTGTCATACTTTTTTCTTATGGGAATATAATTTCACATCTAGAATAAAGTGAATAGTTTTTAATGGCCAATTGTAATACACATCTCTCCTTTAAAATACTAAACCATGTACATAGTGCCTGTTTGCTCCTGGTTTGAAGAATCATTATATTTCCAGTATTGTACAAAATGGCGTCTCTTCCTGATGTTCCTAGAACACATGTGTCAAAGTCAAGGCCCGCGGGCCAGATCCGGCCCGCGAATGAATTTTACATGGCCCGTTCCCTGCCATTGATGCACTATTACGTCAATTGCGTTTTCCGCTATTTTCATGTTCCCAGATGTCTATTATATCTAATATGTATGGGGATAAGCTTGAGAGCATATTGAATCGAGCCAGCAGGTGGCAGCAGCGCTCTCTGAATGGTTTGAAAACAGCTAGATGCACTTGTTGTGCCTCTTTTTTCTCAGCTTTTTGGTGATTTCAGTAAAACTTCCCTCTACTCAACTGGGGATTACAAGCTAGAAACAAAATTATTTTTGCCGATGAAAGTAGACAGTCTATTCTTTCAGAATCTGGTTTCGGATTTCAGATAGTCATAGTATTCTGTGGGTCTTGAAAAATCTATAAAAATCATCAGAAATTGCTGGCAATATGGGAGTACCTGTTCTGAAATAGGCTGGCAGGCAATGAGTTAATAAACATTGAACCAGTCCGGCCCTCGGCTCGCAGCAAATTTGTATATTTGGCCCTCTGATGTGTTGACTTTGACATGCCTGTCCTAGAAGAAGCCGTTTGCAGCGATATCTTCAGCTGACACAAACTCAACACACGTGGACAGTGAGCGAAGGACGCTCCCCTTCCTCTGACAGCGGTGAGGTTTGAGATCCCCAGAGACCACTCTGACCCAGTTAACGCCTTACGCAACAATGATGGCAGTTTGTGGAGTTCCCAAAGATTGTACAAAACTAAAATGCACTTGTCAAAAGAGTTTAGGAAAACACTGAAACTAAGTGACAAGACGACAGGCTCATGAGAACCAACCGGCTCAAAACAAATTCATATTGACGTGATTGTAAACGGCATTCAAACGTCGTTGCTGAGTTTTATGCAGTTGTATGAAATTAAAGCTAATAAAAGCTGCTAAATTCAAGAAGAACAGGGTTTTGTGTTATTCTTTCAAACGATTTTACATTTCCAAGACTAGTGGGCAGTAAGTGGGTAGCAGATCCTCAAAATGTACCTATGTGCAGTGAAAATGCGGTATATAAATAAAGATTACTACTACTACTACTTGGTCTTTCAGCTGGGGCTTCAGGCAAAGTGTGGTTAAGTTTCTTGCCCAGGGACACAACAAGAGCACACTTCAATGGGAGCAGATGGAGTGAGTCTTGTGGGGGAACGAACCCACAACTATTAGGCCCAAAGACCAATGCTTGACCAACTGAGCCACTGTCGCCCAGTGGACAAGTGCTTCAGCCTCTACGGCCTCACATGGTAAAGACATGTTTCTACCTCACATGGTAAAGACAAGTTTCTACAGCCTCACATGGTAAATACATGTTTCTACCTCAAATGGTAAAGACATGTTTCTACGGCCTCACATGGTAAAGACATATTTCTACCTCACATGGTAAAGACAAGTTTCTACAGCCTCACATGGTAAATACATGTTTCTACCCCACATGGTAAAGACATGTTTCTACAGCCTCACATAATAAATACATGTTTCTACAGCCTCACATGGTAAAGACATGTTTCTACTGCCTCACATGGTAAAGACATGTTTCTACAGCCTCACATGGTAAATACATGTTTCTACAGCCTCACATGGTAAAGACATGTTTCTACTGCCTCACATGGTAAAGATGTGTTTCTACAGCCTCACATGGTAAAGACATGTTTCTACTGCCTCACATGGTAAAGACAGGTTTCTACCTCACATGGTAAAGACATGTTTCTACAGCCTCACATGGTAAAAACGTGTTTCTACAGCCTCACATGGTAAAGACATGTTTCTACCTCACATGGTAAAGACATGTTTCTACAGCCTCACATGGTACAGACATGTTTCTACAGCCTCACATGGTAAAGACAGGTTTCTACAGCCTCACATGGTACAGACATGTTTTTACAGCCTCACATGGTACAGACATGTTTCTACATCCTCACATGGTAAAGACATGTTTCTATAGCCTAACATGGTAAAGACATGTTTCTACTGCCTCACATGGTAAAGACATGTTTCTACCTCACATGGTAAAGACATGTTTCTACAGCCTCACATGGTAAAAACGTGTTTCTACAGCCTCACATGGTAAAGACATGTTTCTACCTCACATGGTAAAGACATGTTTCTACAGCCTCACATGGTACAGACATGTTTCTACAGCCTCACATGGTAAAGACAGGTTTCTACAGCCTCACATGGTACAGACATGTTTTTACAGCCTCACATGGTACAGACATGTTTCTACATTCTCACATGGTAAAGACATGTTTCTACAATCTCACATGCTACAGACATGTTTCTACAGCCTCACATGGTACAGACATGTTTCTACAGCCTCACATGGTACAGATATGTTTCTACAGCCTCACATGGTAAATACATGTTTCTACAGCCTGACATGGTAAAGACGTGGTCCTACAGCCTCACATGGTAAAGACATGTTTCTACAATCTCACATGGTACAGACATGTTTCTACAGCCTCACATGGTAAAGACATGTTTCTACAATCTCACATGCTACAGACATGTTTCTACAGCCTCACATGGTAAATACATGTTTCTACAGCTTCACATGGTACAGACATGTTTCTACAGCCTCACATGGTACAGATATGTTTCTACAGCCTCACATGGTAAATACATGTTTCTACAACCTCACATGGTACAGACATGTTTCTACAGCCTCACATGGTACAGACATGTTTCTACAGCCTCACATGGTACAGACATGTTTCTACAGCCTCACATGGTACAGACATGTTTCTACAGCCAAAAAAGGGTTGTATAAAACAGATGCATGATCTATTCTTATGTTCCCATTTCTCAAGTGTTAGAGCAAACCCAAACTTTCCCTACACTATTTCAACAGCTCAAGGCAGGAGTGTGTCAGGATGTATGACATGAAGCTAACCTACCCAACGATATTAGCACTTTATTAGCTCACGGAACTTTATTAGCTCACGGAACATTACCAGAGCGGAGAGAGTGACGGGCGGCCACCCAGAGAGGAAATTAGCCTCAGTGGGGGAATGTCAGCCTGATGGTTCCTTAATGAAACTGCTGTCCTGTATGATTGCATATTGAGACGCCGTTGTAGCGATAAGAGGCGACAGATTTGAGATCGGCCTCGGAGGAAATGAGCTGCTTTGGGGGGAAGCACGCGCACATCTGCGGCTCGCGGGACATATGTCGGGGAACGTCACGCAGAAATATGTGGCTCCGGGATGAAGAGCTCGCACGGACGAAGGCGGCAGAGCGTGAGAGACGTCGTGATCTCGGTGCATCGGAGTTACAGGCCAAACAGTATACACTAGTGCACACAAACAATAGATAGATACTTTATCCATTCCTGAAGGAGAAATTCAGGTGTCCAGCAGCAGAAACACATCCATCCATATAAACAAATAAATACACAATTCTAAAAGTGACAAACAGTAATAAAGTGCTGCAGCAGCAGCAGAGGTGGTGTAGCCGATGGTGATGAGCTGTTTCTGGTTGATGCAGAGTCTGCTTTGTTCAGACCATTCTGCTCAGAGTAAATTTGGAATGCTTTATAAGTTGGAGAACATCTATTTGCTTTTGTATAATTTGAATTTTATAATGTATAATGTGTTTGAATTGTGTTAAAAGCCCTCCTAAGGACGGACATTGCAAACTAGCCTTGGCTAAAAATGTTGTAGTGTTTCACATGTTGATTGTGTACACTTGTCCCTATCAAATAAATCAATAAATAAAAATAAGATAAAAAATAAATAAGCATTTTTCAAAAGAAATGAGCATTCCTCCAGTGGATTTCCATTTGATCCTCTTGGTTGGGACCATCCTCTCTGCTCTGGTCTGGATCAGTGTAAAAGCATGAACACCGTACTGTAGTAACATTTACAGAGAGAAAAAAGCAAGAAAAATGACATTTGTAAAACACAAAACAACAACTGATTCAGAGATACTTCAACTTCCCAGTTGTCACAGTGGGGACACTGCAAACAGTGTTCGCTCCTTCTTATTTTCAAGTGCGCTACATTTCAATGTGTTGAACGTATCTAATGGATGACAGCCGCTGTCCACTGCCTCTGGGCGAAACAGTTCTTCCCTTATCTTTACTACTGAAACTATCGCTGATCCAAGAGATATTTTACTGGTATAAATCCACATCCATAAACTCACAAACTCACCCTCAGTATCTGTTCATGGGCTGCATCCAAATCCTTTTCAAACCTCATTCCTCATCATTCCTTGTGCTTTAAAATGAACCTTCATGAGACAATGTTTGATGACAACCTTTTAAGATGATCGTTAATGCTACTGAAATGGTTCGGCTAGCCTCCCGAAGGAAATACCAAAAAGTTTCTTGTGCCATTTCGACTTTATGTACGAAGTGTATTTTCTTCAACAGATAATAGGCAAAAATAATGAGTAATATTTATTTTTTAATGCAGTTCTGCCAAGTAAAAGGACCAGAGGTCTTTAGAACACACCTCCACAAAGCCTCTGATTGAGCAGATTTTTGTTTTTTAATAATTCAATAATACAAACTCTGTTCTCAGCTCCCCCCACGCATGTATTGTAAAGACTTTTGCCAGCGTTTCACCTAAAGTCTGTTTTTTGAACATCGTGAAAAGAGCAGGGCGACAGTAGCTCAGTTGGTAGAGCATTGGCCTTAAGGCCAGAAGGTCGTGGGTTCAATTCCCACCTCTGCACCGTCTCCACCGACTCCCACTGATGACTGCTGTTGTTGTGTCCTTGGGCAAGACACTTAACCCCACTTTGCCCAAAAGCCCCCACTGAAAGATCAAGGCTATGCTCACACTCAGAGAGCAGCCATCCTCCTGTGGACTCACCACCTGCAGAGGATCAGTGAGGGGCTGGTGCTATGAGACCAGAAATGGATTAAAGGGTAGAAAATGGATGGATGGATGGAAAAAGAGCAAGTGAGTTACAGCTGGTTGTATTCTCTCCTCTCGATAATTGGTTTGTTACATGGGACCTGGGGTGAGTCTGTGGCAAATCTAATCAGAGAAAATGATGACTAATCTTTCTTGTTTACCACATCGAGGCCTCCATAATCGGCGGCACGGTAATTGTTGGGTGACCGTGTTCAGCAGAGGATGGCAGACCGCACAGCTGCTCAGAAGCAAAACTCACTCCAGCGTTTGTCCTTCAGAAAGAAAAAAATTTCTCCAAAGTGCAGGAACAAAGAAAACAAAAGGAGTATAGAGCTTGGCCAGAAAGCAAAGAAATATTTCTATATTCTAACAATATTTATGGACATTGGTCTCTGCCCCTTATGGATCAACGGCTCTGTGTGTTTGATTCTCTCCCTTTGCTTTTTTATATACACAACGTTCAAATTACACAGGGATATATCTTCTTGTTGTTCAACCTTAGTCTAGTGTTTTTCCAATAGATTAAAGGAGCTATACCCATTTCTCCTAGGTTTTTCTCAGTTTGAATGTTTAGCACCGCCCCCCAACTCACTCACGGTCTTCTTATTTCCCCCTCGCTCTCATCCCACGCAGCCATCTAGTTTTATTTGCAATCTGATACGTATGCTAACGTTAGCATTAGCGCAACTTCTTGTAAGCTGTGCAACAATCACTGATGAAATGGAACAAAAACAACGCGCTGCTAACAAAATATAAAACTGAAAGATTATCGCTAGTTTTGCGTCCAAATGTCCGAGCAGATAGTTCGAGGCGGTCCCGCACCCGCAGGTCTCTCCAGAGGATCCCATGTAAGCTAACGGTAAGCTAACCTTACGTAGTATGTTCACCCGGGCTCGATTTCTTCTTTGATCATTATATTGCTTTAGTTTCCTCTTCTCTTCCTCACTGTTGAGTTGTTTGGGCTGTTTTTCTGTGTATGCAGTTACAGACAGAGGAAGTAGCCACTGTTTGCTAATATCCTGCTGTGTTTACCACCAGCTATTTGCTCCTCGTTCTGTGAGTGTAAGAGAACGAGCGTCCCGCTAAGTCTCTACTCAGCACTTTTTACGGGCTGATTTCATACACAAGCTGAATCAATGAACTCAAGTTTTCAATTAAATCACGGATTTTAATTAGTGCTGTCCAAAATATCGCGTTATTAACGCGTTAACGCAAATCAATATTAACGGCGTCATTTTTTTAATCTTTTTATTGCAGACAAAGACATATACAGAAAAAAAAATAGAAACAAAGAAAAGGACTAGTTCAGATGCATTGTAGACAGAGATTACAAACAATATGTAGTTGGAGATACAGGGGGCCAAAGAAGAAACCCAGAAGGGGGGGGGGGACATGAAGTGGGAGATGGGGGGAGGGGTTAATAAAAAAGGCAATACAAGCAAACAGTATACAGTCATAGATATACCGAAAGTAAACAGAGAAACAGCATAGAGTATGTAGGGTAACTAAATGCATATACGTCTTAGATGCAGTGCATTTGGATACATTGCATATCTAAAACATATCTACACAGTCGTAACTATTCCTTATTGGAAATTCCCTTATATCTACCTTTATAAGGGTGAGCTTGTTCTAAGAATGGTCTAATTTTGACTAATATAGAGATACCCTATCTCAAGAGGGGGAAAGAAAAGTCTCAAGACCCAACTAAAAGAATCAAGCGGGGTTTTAAAATCAATCTCATAAATATCTAAAAGTGTGATTTCTATTCGCCAGAGAGCCCAAACTACTAACTAATAACACTGGAGGCTGATAGACTTAGCTGTTTATTTACCAAACGAAAACCCTCAGAGCATAAGAAACTGTGTGAGTCACAATTCAAAGAATGTGCACAATAACCCAAAAGCAGACACATTTAAACACATCGGTATTCAACGATACTTCTTACTGTGTGAAGGTTGCTTTTAGTAAAGTTTCTTTGTTGGTGGACACGTGGTCCGGCTTTGATCCCAGAAAAGTTCCTTTGTTGTTGTCTCATAGCATTCGGCTGTGTAGCGTCGCGTCCCGTCCCGCTTGTTGTTGTGCGGGGGAGAAAGCAGTTGATTGAGCAAGTTCAGGGAGTTGAAACGAGCCTGCTTGAGCTCATACGCACGGATCCAGCCGCGGGCACAGAACGTGAGGGCCGAAACCCAGGAGAGACGAAAAGCCGAGGAGAGCAAGAAGGCCAAAAATTCAAGAGAGCGCGCTCTGCATTCAGACTGGTTTTGTCTCCAGTCTTAGGGGCGGGTACGTTGTAGTCACTTCCTGTTTCCGGCTTTTCACAACACAGGAACTTCTGGGCATGAGACATATTAAACACAATTGTTTAAAGCACAAACACTTCAACAGACATCGTGACTCACACTTCAATAAAGATTAATGACAACAGAGATGCAGGTTTACATTTTAGTTGCATATACAGCACACTTAAGTTTGGAATGTGTGTAGTCCTTTGTTGCCGCTAGGGGGCACTAAAATCACAGTCTGAGAGTCCTGGTCTGGTAGATGGAACAGCAGCAACAACGGTCTGGATTCTCATCCTACATTCCCCCCCTACGAATTGGATGTATCTCCAACATCCAGGACGAGGAACATCCAGGTCGTATTCCTTGAGGATGATGGCCGGCCCACAGTTGGTGATGTCGTCTGCTTGGGTGTGCCTGTGAGTGATTTGGGTTAGTGCATTTCTTTAGTCATGACTCAATGGCTGGCAAATGCTTTGCTGAGGGTTTGGTTTCTGGCTGTTAAATCACAAGGTTTACAGCTAGGTCTGCTGATAGTGAACTGCCCTAGAGAAACGTAATTCACCTAATTCTATGTACTACTTCTAGGTGGAGCTTGGGAGAAGGGCAGGAGTGGGGAAAGCAAAATTAAAGAAGATGGGAACACAAGCATTTAAGATATAAAAATTCACAATAGAATAAGATTTACAACTTAAATTTGAGTAAAACATTTTAAGATTCAAAAATGGTTTGGTGCACCTTCGGCGTATCTTGAAGGTGAGCTTGAGGAAGGAGAAAAGTGAGAAAGAAAGGGAAAACGTAAAAGCAATAATAAAGTAGAAACAAAAACAAATAAAAGTAAAAGGGGTGCCTAGGAGGTGTTTTGGGTTTATGGCACGTTTTGGTGACGGTAGCTCGAGTGAGGAGAGAGTGCGGAGTAAAAGGACATTACTTGTAAGCACACATCTATGGAAGGCATTTGTTTTTGGTTGAATTGAGTTATTTAGGTAAAGGGTTTATTTTGTAGGAGCCGAGGGACTGTGGTTTTGGCTGGGTTTGAGCCACGGTTTTGGTCTGTGGAACAGAAACGGGGTGTCCCGTCTCAATCTGAATCCCCAGCGGGTCTTCATACTCTGGATTGCAAGTCTGAAGTCACCTGTGCAAGCCTTTTTGCTACAACGTTCTTACTTTGCGCAGACCTGCGTTTGTTCACGCGCCTAAGGGAGAAGTCTATTGGTTTTCACCACTGTGGACACGCTCATGTTAAAGGGGATGTCCACGGTGGCAAACACCAGAGGAGTGCTTCGATAGGTGGTGTTGAGTACTATTATAGTGACCTTGAACCTCCTATCTGCTCCGGAGTGTGCTGTATGTTCTGTGGAGTGTAAGACAGAGTTTTAGAGGTTAGACAGTCAGGTTGGTAAGGTCTTTGGTTGGTTAGCTGAAAGGAGGGTTAGTAGACGCTTTAGCCTAATTGTGCTCAAAATCAGTGTGTTTTACTGTGAACCTTTGGTGTCCCCCCCTTGTCCCATGGGCGTGTACCTTGCTGTTGTTGCCCACCTCATATGGTTTTGACCGTCGAGGTGGTGGTTTCCAGGTCCACTTTGTTGGACTGGTCTGTCCAAGAGAGTTTGACAGGGGTGAGGGGTCATACCTGGTTTTTAATTTGGCACTGTGTGGTGGTCGCACACCAGGCGTCTGTTGATGCCTTTTTGTTTATTTGGCTGGTTTGTTACCTGTTGTGGTGGTTGTTTGTGGACACCTTTGTGTCTTGCGGTTGTTACGTCATGACCTTGCGTTCTTCTACCCCCCCTGACGCTTTGGGGCACCACAAGCACCTGTGAAGTGAGTGCCTCAAAAGCGTAAAATGGCAGTCTATGACGTAACCGCGTTTTGGCATTTGCATTGGTTGAGATTGTTTTGGGCGTGACAGTGAAGCTTTTAGCTTCTGCGTTTGGTTTAGTCACGTCTGGTTTTGGGGCGGTCATTGGCTGGCCTGCCGCGGCGTAGGGCTGGGCGCTGCCAGGCGGCCGTGGCATGGGGAGGGGCTTTTGAACCTGTGCCCAGATATTTAGGTGCTGAAAGTCTATGAGCGGCTCAAAGCGATTCAGCAGGTCCCGTCCGAGTAGGAGGGGGATCGAATTGATTGGCGAGACATATATTGGGTGGACCAATTTCATTGGCCCCACCGACAAATGTATCAGCGCCATTTTGGTTAGTGTAGTTTTAACGTTCGAGTAGGGGCGTATTGCCATGTGGCACGGCTGTGTGGTTAGTTCTTTGTGAGACTTTTTTGCGAGCATTTGTAACTTACCAAAGAGATTCCTGGATATCAGACTGATGTCTGCTGCCGTATCCATCATAGCGTCCTGTTTCCATTGGTCCTCGAGAGTCACCGGAAGGTGGAGTGTCCCGTTTGCTCCTTTGAGTCGCAATTTTCCAATTAACGTTTGGGCAGGTGGTTTGCACCTGACTGTGGGGGGAGTTTTCCCCCCAGCGTCGGTGTAGGGACTTACCTGTACCACCATAACGTCCTTTTGGGGAATGTATTGACTGTCCTCTGGCCAGTCAGGGTCCCAAGTGTCCGTGTCGACCTGTGATTGTAATACAGTCTGATTTAGTGGTTCAGCACCGTCAGTGTCTGTGTAGTCAATGTCGTCTGAGTCGTATGGACTATCATTTTCTGTAAGGGAGTCAGCTTTGTTTGTCGTTTCACCAGTTGTTTTACGAGTGAGTATTCGGAGGAGCTGTTCCTCTTCCCAGGTGAGGTTGTCCGATTGATTATGGTCTTCCCCCACATGGTTTTTAAATGTACCTGAGGGTTGTTTGGGGACATTGTTTTGAGTCCCGCTATGTGGGTGGGGGCCAGTGCTGTTTGTGGAATAGCGCTGGCTTCTGCCCTGTGTGTGCCTGTTTTTACGTGCCGTTGGCCTGTGGGAGCTTGACTTTTCCTGGTTGGCCTTACGTGCTGTTTTACGCAGCTGGTGGGCGGGGGCGCTCTTTAGTTTAGAATGTTTACCAACACTGTAGACTGAGGGCGCCTCGGGTGGTTTGTTGTGGGATCTCGTTGTGTGAATACGTTGGGCTCTGGCAACCAGAGTCCTCAGCTGCCGCATGTTTTGTGTAACAGGGCATGCACTCACACCTAGGAGAAGGCTGAGGCTGGGGTGGAGGTTCTGGATGAACAGGGCTTTAAAGTCTTTGTCCTCCTCCATATTTTGGTAATTTTGGTTACCGAAGTATGCCTGTCTCAGTCTGTGATAGTAAGCGTCTGACGGCTCGTTACGGGCCTGTCTGACGGTTAGGGCTGCAGTGAGTGTACCAGACGTTCCAAAGTCAAAGTATTCGTCAAGGAGGGCCTGACAGAGATTGTCGTAGTTTCGCCGTGTGGCGGGTGACTGTCTGTCTATAAAGTTATTAACTTCCCTGTTGGACGTAAGTTTTATTAAGAATACTTTGTCCTCTAGAGATGCATTGAGCAAACGTTTAGAGTAGAAGTCAATGTCTCTGAGGTACGACCGGGGGTCTGCAGGGTTTCCCGGTTGGGGTTCAAAGCGGTTAATGTGGCGGGCAATAAGGTCAAAGTCACGGATTGTTGGTCCGGGGTAGTCTCGACCTTGTATTGGGACATGCATTTGGCACTCGCGGGGGCAGGTGGGGGGTGGGCCATAGGGGTCACGTCTCCTAACGTCTTGGCAGTCCTGTCGGCAAGTGGGCGGTACGGGTCTTACATCCGGGAAGTCTGGGTACCTGGGGCACTGTGAGCGGTCACTGTAAGAGTCTTGTCTGTTGTGACTTACCGGGTCCTTGGGGGCTTCCTGGCAGTGGGCCGGTTGCCGGTAGCCGTGGTAGTCAGGTGGGTCCGGTCCTCTGTCTGGGGGTTCCGGTCTGTTACTGTACCTCTGACTAGGTGGGCAGTCATAGTGGTCGTAGTTTGACCTGGTCCAGTTTGGGTACCTACCATTTATGTTGGACCGTGTTGGTTGGTTAGGGCCTGTATTGGCCCAAGACGTCCTGCGGTCGTGGTGTTCCTGCACATGGGGAGATTCATGTCTTACCTGTGGGAGGTCTTCCGTGGACGTCTGCACACTTCCTTCGGGCTTAGTCCTGGCGGGCTCAGGTCCTTTGTTTGTGGGGACCCTGTACAAGTAGTCTTCTTTTGAGCCGTTAGTGAGGGTACTTACCTGTGCGGCCAGGCGTATTACTTTTGGTGAAGGTGGGGTTGTGCACAGCTCGGGCTGGTGGACCCCATTGTTCTGAAGGTATTGTTCCTTGAGGTGTGCAACAGTTTTGTGAGTTTTAATTAACTCATACGCGATAGCGTCCCTTTCCCTTTCTATGGTTTGGATCTTTTCCTGGAGATCCTTAGCTTTAGCATCGCTTTTTTGCAGATACTGCTGGGAAAGTATGGCTAATTTACCCAGCCACAGGGTGAGGTTCTTACCTTCGAGTGCATTTGTTGTGGCGTCAGTCGCCAGGTCTCGTGCGGCCTGCTCTAGTGTTGGGGCCGTAGCCCCATCAAATTGGTTCCAGGTCCCTGGAATCAATTTAGCAGCAAAGGTTTGTAAAAGGTTAATTACAACATCATTCTGTTCCCTGTTTGGCTCTGAAGTTACACAGAAAGGTCTGGAGGGGTCCAGCTCTTCCATGTTGGGGTGGCTGTGTGATGTGTATTGTTGTGGGTGTGATTTTGAGCATGTATCAGGTAGCTTCTGGGTTAGTGCGAACAAGTTATAGCAGTTTAGACCAGCGTGGGAGAGAGCGGGTTAAACAGCAGAGGTGCAGCAGAGTTGTGTGTGCGTGTGTTTGGAGACGTCAGTCCTGGGGCAGTTGGGTGTGCGTCAGGATAAGTTTGTCAAACCACAAGCGCGCTGGTCAGTTGCTAGCTTGTAGCGGTGTTAAACAGTATTAAGAGTTAGTACAATAACTGTCAGCTTGGCCAGTGAATAGCTTGTAGCGTGTTGCACAGCAGCGGTTCAGCATTTGCACAACAGCAGAGTTTGCATCACACATTCATCAGTACAACGTACACGCACATTCAGTCATGTTAGTCAAAGCATTGTTCGTGGGAAAAGAGTCGGTGAGCAGTTTTTCAAAGTTTACGGGTCAAATGCAATTATATTTCTCCGGTTATGCCTGAAGAATGACGTGGAGAAGTTATGACATAGATTCCGCAGTGTGTACAAAGCGTAAATCATTAAATTTTTTGTTACAAAACTGTTAGAGAAGGGCTGCGTGGCCCTTTTCTATGTGCTGGGTTTGCCGTTTGTGTACAAACGGGCACAGTTACGGGGTGCGTCGGTCCGTTCGAGGAGCGGACGGACAGACGGAATGCGTGTAGTGACACGCTTGTACAGAGACTATAACTCTGTTGTCCACTAATTAGGTTGCGATCCTTTTTTAGTGGGCGTCTGGGTCGTGGGGACTCAGAAGGACGCGCTCAGGCGTCTGGGCCAACTCTTATGATAGTTGCCTTTGCGCTTTTCACGTTAGCAAAGCGATTTGGTTGCCGTGACTACTGTGTGTGTGTAGGCTGCGTGTGTACAGCCTCTCACAGCATTGAGTCAGGCTGATCCCTTGTGGAGCTACCAGTAGGGGTCTGGAAATGAGAGAAATCAGGGCGGAATTCGCGCCTCTGTATCTCAGACCCTAGGCCTATTAAGCATGCATTAAAATAAGACAAAGTACTTTAGGAGCGAGAACAAAAGAAAGGCTGTGCTCAGATTGGGGCCTGGTGGAGCACGTGTTAGCAGTAGCTTAGCACTGTGTTTACAGCTTACTATCAGAGTATAGAGTTAAAAGTTATGCAGTCTGTAGGACCATGCACGAATTTCATTTGGGGCACCATTATGTAGGGTAACTAAATGCATATACGTCTTAGATGCAGTGCATTTGGATACATTGCATATCTAAAACATATCTACACAGTCGTAACTATTCCTTATTGGAAATTCCCTTATATCTACCTTTATAAGGGTGAGCTTGTTCTAAGAATGGTCTAATTTTGACTAATATAGAGATACCCTATCTCAAGAGGGGGAAAGAAAAGTCTCAAGACCCAACTAAAAGAATCAAGCGGGGTTTTAAAATCAATCTCATAAATATCTAAAAGTGTGATTTCTATTCGCCAGAGAGCCCAAACTACTAACTAATAACACTGGAGGCTGATAGACTTAGCTGTTTATTTACCAAACGAAAACCCTCAGAGCATAAGAAACTGTGTGAGTCACAATTCAAAGAATGTGCACAATAACCCAAAAGCAGACACATTTAAACACATCGGTATTCAACGATACTTCTTACTGTGTGAAGGTTGCTTTTAGTAAAGTTTCTTTGTTGGTGGACACGTGGTCCGGCTTTGATCCCAGAAAAGTTCCTTTGTTGTTGTCTCATAGCATTCGGCTGTGTAGCGTCGCGTCCCTTCCCGCTTGTTGTTGTGCGGGGGAGAAAGCAGTTGATTGAGCAAGTTCAGGGAGTTGAAACGAGCCTGCTTGAGCTCATACGCACGGATCCAGCCGCGGGCACAGAACGTGAGGGCCGAAACCCAGGAGAGACGAAAAGCCGAGGAGAGCAAGAAGGCCAAAAATTCAAGAGAGCGCGCTCTGCATTCAGACTGGTTTTGTCTCCAGTCTTAGGGGCGGGTACGTTGTAGTCACTTCCTGTTTCCGGCTTTTCACAACACAGGAACTTCTGGGCATGAGACATATTAAACACAATTGTTTAAAGCACAAACACTTCAACAGACATCGTGACTCACACTTCAATAAAGATTAATGACAACAGAGATGCAGGTTTACATTTTAGTTGCATATACAGCACACTTAAGTTTGGAATGTGTGTAGTCCTTTGTTGCCGCTAGGGGGCACTAAAATCACAGTCTGAGAGTCCTGGTCTGGTAGATGGAACAGCAGCAACAACGGTCTGGATTCTCATCCTACAAGTATTTACATGAACAAATTTACAAAATATTTAAAAAAGCAATTGCACACAGCACGCCTATTCACTTTTTAGTAGTATTAAAATGATAATTCAAGGGACATAAAGAATAGATACAAATGTGTGACTAATTTGCGATTAATCGCGAGTTAACTATGAAATTCATGCGATTAATCGCGATTAAATATTTTAATCGTTGGACAGCACTAATTTTAATACAACCTATATGTAGTAAAACAGATTTTTATGAACTCAATAGAAAATAAATCGGGTATAGCTTCATTAAATACTAATTACTACTGTGATAAAAGTAGTTAGGTCTGAGGACTTCACAAAACTTTCAATTGTCTATCACAGATCAGATAATCGAACAGATAAAAACACATCGAGCCATTGGTGCATAAGGGGCAGAGACCAATGTCCATAAATGTGATTGAAAGTTCTGTTCTTAAGCCTCCTACATCAGCCAGGAACAACTCTAAAAACCCTGAGGGAGACAAGTGAGAAACCTTGGTGAGAGAGAGATCCTTGCCTACGGACAAACGGGCTGTAGATCCAGGCCTGAGGCCGCTTCCAGGCGGGGACAGTCCACTAGTGCTGATGGAGGCGGCGGGTTCAGGGCTGCCACCATCTCGCCATGTAACATAACAGCGGTGAATATTTACTCAACCAGTTCAATGTCAGCGTAGAAAAAGTACAAAAGTATACACTAACAATGTGCTTCCAGCTCTGCAGACACCAGTGATGCTCTGGTCTTGCTGCTGCCTGTTTTCGGGTCAATTCTGTCTTTTATGATGAGAAAATAGAAAAATATTTGGCGATGTCTGCACTCTCGCCCGGAGCCTGGCAAACACGAGCTGAGTTGATTTTGTGAACCGTCTTGTTAGCAGGGTTCTACCTTTGTGGGATCGTGACCATTCAAACACTGCACGAACAGTCTCAGCCACAGCATATTCCCATGGCAACACGAGTTTATTTCATTCATGTTCTATCTCACTAATATTTTCATAGCACCTTCACTGGCACCAGAGTAAAAAAGAACAAAATGGCATTTGTATGAGTGGAATATGACAGTGGCTCTTATTGTTGACTGTAAACAATTGCTAAAATATTTAAATGTTTTCTTTGCTTAAGAAATGAGTAATAAAACATTTTAAATTTCAGTAGTATTCTTTCTATGAATTCCCAGTGATAACATAATGCAGCACTCATATTGGTATTCAGTATCGGCAAGTACTCAAATTAAAGTAATCGTACTCGTATTGGTGCATCCCTAGTTACCACAATCGTACTGTCTCTGAATTGAAAAGCAATACATTACTACTGCATTACTTTGAAGTTACTTTCCCAAAATATATAAATACAAACTAAGTGTAGCTTATGATGCTGTTGTGTGAGGTTGATAGAGCTTTTGGTTTGAACTAATTGTTATGTTTCACATCTTTGTCTCCAACAAACTCTAAATAATGGGAGTCTGTCCATCTGTAAAGGGTATTCTCCACGTAGTACTTCTTCTGCTTCAGCCTCAGCCGTCTTCTACCAGAAAGGAACAACACTTCTCGGAGGCTGCTATTGGAGCAGAATCTTTTTCCTCGCTGCTAATCTTGCGGCGGCATAGTATAAAACAAAAAATTATTATAAATTAGTAAATTATAACCCATTTCTTTTTTTGAATGCCCTACATTACTGCGTTACAGCAAAAAGCAACACTTTACAGTACTTTTACCTTACATTACATTACTTTTGTAACATATTACATATCCACATCCCACTTTGACAGCCCTGGTCTATACGTTTCAAAAACTGTAGATATTGTTAGAAGCAAAGCTCAAACACAGATATCCACTGGAGAAATCTCTATTTACTTGTCGTTATGGAAATGCTATAGTGTGAAGAGACTGCACCGGCCCAGACCTCATTTGCATTATGAAGGCATGTATTATGGGATGGATTCACACCTGTTTGGAGAAGGCAGATGGCAGCAGAACATCTCATCATTTCATATCACCCTGACGCACTGAAGATTATCTCTGCATTTGAACGGGCCCCGCTCCAAGTTATTTATCTTTGGAAGACAGATCATCAGCTGCTACTGGCTTATACTGGCAGATTTTTAAAATAAATTATGCTTTGTTTGATTATTGTTTAGTCAAATAACGATAATTATGATTTTGAGTTAACTTAGTTGCGCTTTTACTTAGAACTCAAAATGTCCTGGTATAGAGCAGTTTTAAGGAGTTCAGCAGCGTTTCTAACATCATCAAAACTCATTTCTGCTGGAGGTGGAATAATCAGGTAAGAATAATATTAATGCGACAACAATATCAACAACAGCATCTCTCTCATATTCCAGAAACTATGCGGGTGCTTTGGCTGCACGAAGAGGCACCTTTGGGCGAAACTAGTTCTGATACTTCAGTCTACTGTAGTGCAAGTGTCCTGTGTTTTTTGCTTTTGTGCAGCTTCTACTTCAAGAGAAAATGTATAAATACAAACGTAAGAATGTCTTCCTGCACCCCCTCCCCACCTGGGACCTGCCTCAGCACTCGTTCTACAGCCTCTACAGCCTCGGGCCTGCGTCTCATGGCCTCAGTCGTGGATCTACAGCCCGTCCATCAGTGGGTGAGGATCCCTCCCTCAATGTGGGTCTGCCTGAGCTTTCTCACTTTTCTCCCACTGGGTTCCTCTCTGATGCAGGAAGGTCTAATGACAGTGGTGATGATCCAGGACACTCCACATTCAACAACATTTATGGACATTGGGCCTCATTCACGAATAACTTCGTAAGAAACTACTCAACTTTCTTCTCAAGTTGTCCTTAAGTAGATTTCTAAGAAGTCCCCACGTGGGATTCATCAACGCACTCGTAAGGCGCTGAATTGTTCGCAGCTGTTCTCTCAGATTGATGAATCCAATTCCTCGTAAGTAGAGCGCGCGTGCCAGGTGCTTCATTAGCATAGGTACTTAGCATAAGTAACCGCCCACTAATGCCCATATAAGGGACTGCAGGGCCGTGTGCAGACGGCAGAGGAAACAGCAACAGGCCTTTACACGGAGCAAAAGTCACCCTTTTTTCTTCTTTTACCAGACTGAGAATAAAGTTATAAAATGTTGACTTAAAAGTCGAAATATTATGATAATAAAGTCGAACTAGCAAAATTATGAGATTAATCTAAGAATATGATGAGATTAATCTCAAAATGTTATGAGCTTAATTTAAAAATATATTATGTATTATTTTAAAGATGAATCTCAAAATGTTTTGAGATTAATCTCAAAATATTTTGGACCCTGGGAGGAGATCCAGCGCGGACCAGCGCTGAGACCAATGCAGACCCGAGGAGAGACTGGAGTGACCAGCACACAGAAACCAGCGCGGACCTATAGGAGAGACCGCATAGACTGCAGTGACCTGACTGGAGAGACCGCATAGACTGTAGTGACCTGACTGGAGAGACCGGTGCGCAGAGACCAGCGCGGACCGAAGAGAGACCGCATAGACCAGACTTGAGAGACCAGCGCGGATCCGTATGGAGAGACCAGTGCAGACCCGTATATGGGAGACACCAGCGCAGACCCGTATAGATCCATAGGAGAGACCAGCGCAGAGACTCAGCGCGGACCCAGTAACCTCCTGCAGCAGCAGTATATATGCCGTTGTTCTGTGGCCCGTGGATAAAGAAATGCCCCCTATAAATAGGAAGGGGTCACTAATACACGGCAAGATTTCCAATGTATTTGATAAAGCGTTGGCACATTTCATTTCAAAATGAATTAAAAAGTAGGCCAGATCTGCAGTGAAAAAGCCGGTATATAAATAAAGATTACTAATAAAGATTACTACAAATAAATAAATACATACATCGATATGACGGACATATCACTGGAATGTTGTATTTTTATTCAACTTCACCAAAGAGGACAACCCCCGCGTGTGAACATGTCGGCACTGAATGCGTACGAGTGCTCCTGAGGACTCGTAGGATTTGTACTTGCCCAAGAGAAATTCTGGTTACGAGAAATATTCGTGAATGCCACTTTCTTCGTAAAAACCGCGTAAGTAGGATTTACGTACAAATCTGTTCCTAAGAACCGTTCGTGAATGAGGCCCATTGGTCTTTGTCCCTTGCGGACCAATGGCTCTATGTGTTTTTTTATAATTGAATTCCTTGAGTTTGAACTGTTTGACTCTCTGATAAAAGTCCTCAGAGACAATTACTGTTTTGATTTAGGGAGCGATACAAGAATAGATTGAATTGAATTGAATAAGGCATCCTGGTTACATGTTTTAACACCTGCTGTTGGTCAAGATACAAAGAGAAACAAGCTCCTGATTCTATAATGAACCAAAACTAAATCCATACCGTGTGTTTTGCAAAGCACTCAATTCCCTCTTAATTTCTCTTGTTGTCTTGCACCAAGCTAAGCCCAAATCAAATCTATAAAACTGGTCACATCTACATAGATCCAAACACATGTAGGGGTCAGTGTCGAACGTCTGCATTGATTGGGCGTCTGCGGGCGGCCTTTAGTTCCCTCATTAAGTATCCTGCCGTTCGATACAGCGGAGAGTGACGCCCCCATCTTCTGTCCCCCATTACAGCAGCCCATTACCCAGCTCCGGATCCATTCTGCAACAACACAAAGGGGAAATAAACAGCTTTTGTCCACTGAGACTGTCCAGACTGACGCCCTCACACAGCTGCAGGGAGACAATGAAACATGCAGAGTGTTGATGACAAAAAGATGATGTTAGCGATATTGGACTTTAGTATGAAACTTTAGAATAGGGCGTTATATAATTCTGTTTTTATGAATAGGGCGGGAGGTCACAGCCAAGATTAGCTCTCAGGACTGAAAATTATAAAAAAATATATATGATCTAACTTGTGAAATGTTATAAAATCTCTCTGTGCTAAAGAGATTTTATATTGGCTTCCTTATTATGCTAAAGTTAGAGATTTTTTTTTAGTATAGAGTTATTGTTCACTTATATTGTGCTGTGTGCTTCTGTAACTGGTGATGGAACACCATGGAACAAATAAAGGATCTCTGCATCTTAATCTTGAACAAAAATGACGCATTTTATCTGTAAATTTTAAGAAGAAGAAGGTCCTTCATTCGTCCCACAGTGGGGAAAATTTCAGTTTGATGAATACCATACACACATCGAGGCATGAAGCAAACTACTTCTGCTCTCTTTTTAGGCAAAGTGGGTTAAGTGTCTTGCCCAAGGACACAACAACAACAGATATCAGTGGGAGATGGTCTCGCGGTGGGCTCAAACCCATGACCTTCAGGCCAGTCTGTGTGTGGAAAACAATACTCATATGTGAAACTGTCCTGGTCTGTGTGGACTGGACCAGGACAACAGGTTGTACAATGACCTACTGACCATGTGCAATGGTTCTGTCCCAAAGGCTATTTATTGTATGATATGTTTTATTTTTACAGGGACAATGTAGCCAAAAGGAGAGTTGCATTGTACCAGGTTGTAGCAGCTGTGCTAATTTACACCTGTAGTCCCTGAACAAGTTGTTGTAAAACAGTAAAATAAAAGTAGATCGAGTCAGAACCATACATTAACAGACAGAAATTACAATTTGATTTACCACAAGTTTATAATAGAATAAAACCACCCTGCCCCCATTCTTTTCTTTCATACATCCCTATACTGAACTCACACACATACACATATATACACACGCACACACACACACACACACACACACACACACACACACACACACACACTTACACAGACACTCATCAAACATGGGAACAGATTTTCCTTTCCAAAAGACATGGTTATATCAGGCGTGGGAATATGTATGTATCTATGTATTTATTTATATATATTATTATTGTATTTGTTTTGATATTGACACAACAGTTGGGCGGACCTACCTCCCTCCTCTCCAGATGGACGTTTTTTATTAACGTTGGTCTCTG